AAGAAAGTTCTGGAAGCTTTAGTATACTTAATTCAAATTCTGAAAATTTCTTTTCTTCATTTAATTGATATCTATTGATTATTTTGAGGCACTAGAGAGAGCTACAAAGACAAATATGACCCACTAGATACTCAGCAAATGTGTATTTTCACAGGAGACATATGTATACGAAAGAGTTTCCATAAATGTCCCCGCTACCTTTGATCAGAATCCATCAGGTCGAGAGCCAGGTACTGGCGTCAGGGAGATTGGGAAAGGGAGAGTTCAAGGAAGGTGTGGCTGTGGAGCTGAGCCTTGAATTGTTCTTGCTGGTTTCATGGGCATGGCAGAGGAAGGCTTGCTCCATGGTGTCAGACAGGGCGGAAGGAGACACTGCGCTCTGTTTGGAGACGTAAAGATAACTAATGTAGCTGAAGCAGAGCGCCAAAGCTGAATTTCAGTGGAAAAGGAAATCACATGAGCAAGCGGGCAGCCAACCACCATAACACATAGTCACAACTTCTTGGAAGCATATGGTGTATTAGTCCCTTTTCTACTGTTCACCAGGGTCTTTGAGGCTAGGCAGTGCATAAAAAAATAGATGTATTTCCTACAGTCCTGGAGGCTGGGGGCCACGGCTGAAGTCCCCACACCCAGCAGGACCTTCTTGTGCTGTCAGGTCAGAAGATGGAGGCTCAAAAGGGCATGAGAGGAGAACAGGAGATAAACTCATCTATTTATCAAATACTCATTTCCAGGACAATGAGCCCAGGCTCAAATAGCAGCATTAATTCATTCATAAAGACAGAGCCCAGTGACGGGTCACCTCTTAAATGTCCCTCCTCTCGATGCAGTTGCATAGGGATCGAGTCTTTAGCTCAAGAACTCGAGGAGACAAGTTCAAGCCACAGCAAAGGGCTATTGAACATGGAATTTGGGTGGCTCTAGACATGCCTCTGTGGTGCCATGTTATTGATTACTCCCAGGAGGGGCTCTTCCTAACCTAAATTTTAATGAAACATGCTGTTATTGAGTGCCTGCTAATGTGGTTCCTTGTAGAAGGAGAATCTGTATTCCTTTTGGAAAACTGCTGGTACTCTGGCTGTGTTATGTTAAACTGTATCTTAGATTTTTTTTTTCTTCCAAGCCCAGAAATGGAGAAGGGCACTATATTAATGAAATCACTGGATTTTATGGTGTGTTTTGTTCAGCTATGATTTTCTAAGTAGTCACAGAAAACCACTAGGAAAAGAGGCGCCCCCCCTGGAGGTGCACTCTGCACATTGCTGTCTTGTCACGGGGTCTGTGACCAAGTGATTCCTGTTCGCAGAATGGCTATACCCCACTGCACATCGCTGCCAAAAAGAACCAGATGGACATAGCAACGACCCTGCTGGAGTATGGTGCTGATGCCAACGCAGTTACCCGGCAAGGAATCGCCTCCGCCCACCTCGCCGCGCAGGAAGGGCACGTGGACATGGTGTCGCTGCTCCTGGGCAGAAATGCGAATGTGAACCTGAGCAACAAGGTAACTTTCTCCCAACTCTCTAGAGAATTCGCCGCCACCCTTCAGAAAGTCAGTAACACATAAAAAATTCTGCATCACATAGACTGGGTAAAGTAAAATATCGCACAGAGATGTTTACTGAAGTCTTACTTATCCCAGCAAAACCTTGGGAACAGTGGCATATAACAGAGTGGTAGTAATTCAAAGAAGTATAGCTGAAGGGCCAGCCAGATAGCTCATCAGAGTAAAGCGCCTGCTTAGGCAGAGCTCAGTGGCAAGGGTTCAATCCCTGGCGTTCTGTGCCAGCCCCACCCCCAGGGCATGCTGAGACTACAAATGAGACTGGGTGTGGTGTCACCGGCCTGTAATCCCAGCGCTTGGGAGGCTGAAAACAGGAGGATCACTACAAGTCTGATCTGTGTAGTGAAACCCTGTAGACCCTATACTAAATACATAAAATTTAAAAAGTATAGCTGAGCTATGATTGAAATATATGGTGGATGATTACATTTTAAAAAATAGTAGACATATGGCAAATAATTGTTAAAATATATCACAATAAGAGACATATTGGCATTACTCT